GACCAGAGAACAAAAAAAAAACAAACCAAACAACCCCTCACCTCACATAGCCCACAATTAAGAATGACAATCCGTCATTCTCCTGGCACGCCAGAGCCTAGTGGGGCCTAGGCTAGTAGACTTTGTGTGCTTCAGCTCCATTAGGGTGGGGGTGGGAGGCTGAAGTGCCATCAGGGGCTCCTCAATGCTGGAGATGGAGCGACCAGAGAACAAAAAAAAAACAAACCAAACAACCCCTCACCTCACATAGCCCACAATTAAGAATGACAATCCGTCATTCTCCTGGCACGCCAGAGCCTAGTGGGGCCTAGGCTAGTAGACTTTGTGTGCTTCAGCTCCATTAGGGTGGGGGTGGGAGGCTGAAGTGCCATCAGGGGCTCCTCAATGCTGGAGATGGAGCCCATAGCCTCCGGGGCCAGATCCAGGCAAGCTGGAGGCTGCGTCTGTTCCCCGGGCCTTAGGTTCTCCACTCCTGTCCTAAATAAACATGGAAAATACTTCAGAAAATGTACAACACAAAAGTTGTTATTTCCAAATATTAGAATAGCCGAAATCGATCTTTAAATATGCAGTGTTGGAAAATATAAGTCTAGAACTGTCAACATATAATAACCTTAACCACAGTTAAGGTGAGTTCTGAGAATATTTATGGAAGTAGATTGTCTCGCTTTACGGTATGGTTATGTAACAAGATGTTTTAGTTTCCATATTTTTGCATATACAGAATATGTCCAAGCATACAGATTCTTCAGCTGAAGTGTTATTGGAAAAGAGAGGGTGTGCTGGAGTAATAACTATGAATAGACCAAAGGCTCTAAATGCGTTAAATCTTTCCATGATTCGACAGATTTATCCACGGTTAAAGGTTAGTGGCTTTATTTTAACTCAGCCTAAATTTGTACACACTACTAATATTTTTAAATCTAAAGCAGCTGCTACTTGGTTCTTTCTAATCCATCTGTAACTTCTTGTATGGAGTCACTGATTAAATCTCATTAAGACTGTTTCAATTAGCTACTTCAACATACACTTGACTAGCTCCACTGAATTCAGAGAGACTACTCGCACAGTTTTAAATATCATTCTGGCCTACAGATTAGATATAAAAATCCACATTTGATTGGTACTTTTGTTCCCCAACTAACTTTCTACATTTTAGTTAAATGCTGAACATTGTTGCATTTGTGGTGTTTTGGGTGCCCTTCTCCAAAAGATTATGTAATCAGGGTTTGGAGTGGGGAGAAAATAGATGAAGTAGTCTAAATCCTGATTGTCTAAATATAGAAATAAATGTAACTATACAAGTGGTACATCTCCTCCCCCTTCTGTAGTGTGGATGTAGTTATTTTGGTATAAATATTTATATTGGTATAAGTTATTACCATATGGGAAAGGGATTAAGATATGGATATAATGCAGAACTTTGTAACTGTGTGAATTGCCCCTGAGCTGTCTTTCTGTGCACTCAGGAATAATTCTCTCTATCAGTTAAGCTTCCATGTATGAACTGAAAGTTTCTTCAGGGGACAGACACTTATTTTTTTACAAGGGAAATAATAAATTCAGCAGTAATGGATGATAAACCCCCCGAAGGATTTCTATACAGCTGCATTAGTATATTTTCCAAGTCCTACCTATTGTACATTTTTTAGGGTTCAGTTGAAATGTCAATAGTATATGGCTCATTTACTGGAAGGTGTAAGAATAATGACCAGATATATTATTTGGAAAAATTGTGTTAAGTGAATTTTTATATATTGGGGAATAATATTTGTGTCTTTCCTTTTAGACATGGGAGAAAGATCCTGAAACTTTTCTAATAATTATAAAGGGAACTGGAGGAAAGGCTTTCTGTGCGGGGGGTGATATCAGAGGTAAGGGCTTGAGAATGTGCTGAAGTCACACTGGTCACTGTTTAACAATTGTGACATACAACTTTCAGTGATTATTCACTTCAACCCCCCCCCCAAAAGCCCAACAGCAACGAATGGTCCTGCAGCATCTTAGATATTAACACAAAATAGAGGTAGTATCATGAGCTTTCATGGGAACAATTCATTTCTTTAGATGAAAAATATTACTCCTCCATTCTAAGTAAAGGGCATACATCAATTAGTAATATTGAAGTAAATGGATACTGTTGTCTGAGCATCAAGATTTTAACATTTTAAAACATTTACTAATTTTATAAGCTGCTTTTTATTTTATGTAGATAATACAGAGATAAAGCAAAACTGTATTTACATTAGGATAGCTAAATTTTTGTATGGTTGAATAGTAACCAGGTAGCAGGTTAAAGCTTACTTCAGTCACAACTGGTTGTGAACATAGTAGCGAGAAGGAAGAACTTGTCTCCTCAAAGAGATCCCATGCTATTAAGGGTATCTGCCCCTGCTGTCTGGTGGCTGTATTAGAGAACCCACTGATATTGAAGACCCAAATAGTCATGTTACCAAAACCCACCTGCTTATATTTGACTTGATATGATCACAGTGTTCATATGTTTGTTAGCTCCAGAGTAGATTACTTTGTTTCATTTAACAACAAAACCCATGCACCCTGAAAATGTTTCAGAGGCTGAAAATGTAACAACCTGTCAGATCATTGTAAATTAGTGTCCTCCCAGTACTGGTCCCCATTTTCCAGTATTCAGGATCTTTAGTAGGAATTGTTTTAGCTGCTTAAGAGATTGGCTTTTCCTCACTAATCATTGACTGTCATGATAATTTCAGTGAAATTGAAGTATGAAGCTGTCAGCCAGTAGGAAAGGCTCATGAATACAGGAGGCATAACTTTAATGAGAACAGGATGCTGATTGAACATGTTCCCATAACAAATTATGGAGAAAAATAATCATGCGACTAACTCAAGAATAATGATAGATTGTATTTAAGTAATTAAAATCAATTTAAGTTTGCTGATTGCCACCCTTTGGTTTACTGCACTAAAAAACCCCCACAGAAAACGTGTCCTTTCTACAGAATTTAAATCTTTCAGAGTACACAAGTCTCTGCTTATTGTGAATATTAATATATAAGATATTTAATATTGCAAATTACGTTTTGTTGTGATGGTTCAATTTTTAATCAAGTAATTTAGTTCATTTTGTCTTTACTAGCAATCACAGAAGCTGGAAGAGTTGGAGATAGGCTAGCACAAGATTTCTTCAGAGAAGAATACATGCTGAACAATGCTATTGGTATGTGTGTACAAAGGGGTTTCCAAATCTAAATACCTTTAGAATATTTGTAGATTTGGTTTTTCACAATGGTGGCTCTAAGCATAAATTCAACACTTAATTGTATAGAACTGGTAACAGAGGTAAAGATGAAATCTGAAGATATTAATTTTTCTGACTAAGTGCCAGTTTTGGTAATCTACCTCTAATTTGGCAGTGGATAATCACTTGAGTTCGTGTAAAGTATTCATTTTCTGTTTTAAACTGTTAAATAGTTTGTTTTCATCATGGGGATTGCCAGTAATTCAGTACAGTTGAATAATGGGTAAAGTAAATCCTAGATTTGCAGATTAAGTGTTCTAGATAATTATGTAATATAGGGAAGACTAAGATGTGACAGGATACATTAAGTGGGCACACCTGTATTTGCCACCTCATCCTTACATTAAGTACTTAGTGAAGCTAGAAGGCAATTCTTCACTAATTTGGTAACAATTTGTAACTGTTCTACTGATTATTACTATGGCAAATGGCTTAATATTCAGAAAGATTGGACCTTTATGTTAATAATCTATTTACAGACAATATAAACTGTGTGTGGGTTAACACATTCTTCAGAGCAAAAAATCAGTTACTAGCAATTTGGAGTCAGGAAGCAGCTTTTTCTGCAGACATGTTTAACTGAGTATTCTGGGCTTCTTCAGAGCAAAAACTCAGTTACTAGCAATTGGGAGTCAGGAAGCAGCTTTTTCTGCAGACATGTTTAACTGAGTATTCTGGGCTTAAGTTTTCCTTGGCAGCATCTGCTACTAGTGACAGATACAAGATACTGACTAGAAGGACCAGTGTTTCAATGTTGTATGACAATTCAGGTGTACCTAAAGTACATCTTCAGATTAAACATTAATATTTCTGAAAAGTGAGTTCTTACAACAGCCTTAGATTAATAATATTGAGGCATGGTCTGTGCTAAAATAGCGTGATTGGCTATGTCACTCATCGTTGTGAAGGAAATCTTGATCTTCAAAGGTAGTGAAGCTGAGCTAATCTTGCGTATATACTTACGTTAAGTCAATGGCAGACTTCAGAGTTCTACTGATTATTACTATGTCAAATGGCTTAATAATATTCAGAAAGATTGGACCTTTATGTTAATAATCTATTTACAGACAATATAAACTGTGTGTGGGTTAACATTCTTCAGAGCAAAAACTCAGTTACTAGCAATTGGGAGTCAGGAAGCAGCTTTTTCTGCAGACATGTTTAACTGAGTATTCTGGGCTTAAGTTTTCCTTGGCAGCATCTGCTACTAGTGACAGATACAAGATACTGACTAGAAGGACCAGTGTTTCAATGTTGTATGACAATTCAGGTGTACCTAAAGTACATCTTCAGATTAAACATTAATATTTCTGAAAAGTGAGTTCTTACAACAGCCTTAGATTAATAATATTGAGGCATGGTCTGTGCTAAAAAATAGCGTGATTGGCTATGTCACTCATCGTTGTGAAGGAAATCTTGATCTTCAAAGGTAGTGAAGCTGAGCTAATCTTGTGTATATACTTATGTTAAGTCAATGGCAGACTTCTTCCATTGACCTACCTACCACCCCTGTGGGAGGCGGATTACAATGTGCCAATGGGAGAACTCCTTTTGTTGGCATGGATAGTGTCTATACTGATATCCTACTGTGGTGCTGCTGTAACATTTCAGACAAACAAGCCCTGAGAATTTAACATCGGACTAATGTGTTATTTCACTTTAGACTACGAAAGAGAGACAAGTCCGTTTTATAGTTTTACTTTAGCATTCTGCAAGAGCATAAGAACACAGTGTTTGTATAATAAAGACCACAGAGGACTTTAAAGCCTATGGTAAAGTTTTAAAGTACATATAAATGAATATTGATTATGACTTTAATAAAGCTTATATAAAACAAATGTATATTTTTGCTAAGTGTGGTCTGATAGCATTCATATCAGAGAGATTTAAAGAATGTCAGTTTATGCATGTGAGATTTTGTATAAATGAAAAGCACCTCTAGTGCATATCTAAAGTTGTCACCAAATATAGTTTTTTTAAAAATTAAAGTGGAGATATAATACAAAGATCAATTTAAGAGCCCATTCAGTAATATTGCATGTTCTATGCTGATGTGGATAAAGTGCAATTGCTTTGTTATATTTGCTAAATATTATTTCACGCTACTCCTGTGTGGATCTTGTAGTGAAAGGCCTTCTCATCTCTACTATATATTTGAGTTTGTGCGTCCATCTGTGTGAGTTTGTTCAAGAACTTCCCCTAAACAGTAAGAGCTAGGACCACTAAATTTGGTATGCACCTTCCTCTTATAACTTAAGGCAAGGTCAGGGTTTGGTTGTGTGAGGACAATGGGTTGTGTGTTGAACGCGACTTATTTGTATCAAACAAAGAGGTGTGTGAGATAGCAGGGACTGTTATACTCATGAATGACTACAAAGGGACAGCAAGCGCCCCAGCCCTGGGGAGCAGCTGCCCACTGTGCTGAGCAGCCCCTTCTGGGTCAGCCCTGGGTAGAAGCTGGTGAGTGAGCCTGCACAGTCCTTCTGTACCCCCTCTTGCCCCGGGTAAAGCTGGGTAAGTTTACTAGTAAATACATATATATGGAGTAGCGATGTAAAGGATTAGTCGACTATCCGATAAGCAAATGCTTATTGGATAGTCGACTAGTTGCTCCCCCCTCCTACTATCAGATAAAGGCAGCAAGTGGAGGAGAAGAAGGGGGGTACTTCAATGCGGCAGCACCACATGGAGCCTGGGGTCAGCGTCTCTCTGCGACGCTGCCACTTTGAATGCCTCAGGGAGCCTGGCGTCAGGCTCCTTGCAGCATTTCAAAGCAGCAGTACCTTGTGGAGCCCAGAATCAGCTGGATGATCCACTGAAATGCATCAACTATTTGATTAGTCAGTTACCCAATACTTAACATCCTTAACACGGAGAGTGTTTAAAATTGATGTGGGAACCATAACTCTACATTTTCTAGCATTTTGTTGGTATTTGCTCTAACTGCATGAGTTGGTATTTATCTGCTTATTAGAATTAATTAAAAATACTAAAACAGCTTCATTCAAAAAACCTGCTCTTGAAGTAACTGGGACTTGGTTTTGCACTTTCTAAGTTACTCTGGGGCTACATCTACACTGCAGGCTTTTTTGCACAAGAACTGTTTTGCACAAGAACTCTTGTGCAAGAGTGCGTCCACACTGTCATGTGCTTTTGTGTGAAAGCGTCCATGGCAGTGTGGGCGCTCTTGCGCAAGAAAGCACTGATGGCCATTTTAGCCATTGGGGTGTCTTGCGCAAGAAACCCCTGTTGCCCATCCACACTGCTTTCTTGCCCAAGAGCTCTTGCACAAGAGGGCTTATTCCTCATGGGGAGAGGAATAACTAGTTTAAGAAGCCCTCTGTTCTGATGCTTGACTGTAAATTTACTTGTGCAAGAATGCGTGTGCGGTGTAGATGCTCTGCAAGTTTTTGCGCAAGAACAACTATTCTTGCGCAGAAATCCTGCAGTGTATACATAGCCAGGATGTTTAGGTATTCACACACTTAGTCTTAAAAATATAGGTTTGTTTACTGGTTGCTTTTTAAAATGCATACTTAAGGATGGTAGACGTACCTCTAGGATTCTCCTCCTAGAGTATTAACTGACAAGTCAGTAGTGAAGTTTATATAATTTAAGAGCTACTTCAAGTACCTGTAACATAGGGTGGTGACAAATATTACCCTATTATCTTTGTATAAAGTAATTTGTCTGTTAAAAGTACAGCCAGTTAAAGAGAAATTTGTGGTATGTGCATCACAGATGTGTCTAGGAAGGGGCTAGTGTACATTCCTACAAAAATGTATTACATATGCCTAATTGTTACATTTTTGTTAGGTACCTGCCGGAAGCTGTATGTGGCACTTATTGATGGGATTACAATGGGAGGTGTAAGTAAAATGTCTAATTGAAGTAGTTAAGATGTCTTGTATGTGTTAATGTAATAGTTGATTAAAAACACTGAGGGATGCAAAATTGACAGTTTCAAGAAGTGCATAGAACACCATCACTTAACAGTTATTTTTAGATATTAAGTGTTGCTTGGCATACATCATTTAGAAAATAGTTAATTTTTAGGAGTGACTCAGAATAACTTCGTGTCAAACGTATACTGCAAAGTCTTTGAAGGTGGATGTTTACCTCATTCTCTTGGTAGCAGTCACATTGTAT